CATGTAGTCAATTATAAAGTCATTATAAAGTTAAGCATTTTCGTTTCGTGTTTTCATTAGTATTGTTGTAAATAGGGTTTGGAATTACATAAAAAATACTATTGTTTGAGTGAATTTTATAGGAGGTAATTATTATTAGTTATTTGTTTTGTTTTATACTAATGTATCATTATTATTATTATTCATATGAAACATTTTTTTAAAAATGACTGTTACGTATTGGGTACAGAATATGACCCCAAAACAATAGTTATTGAAATTTTTGTGTCTGTCTGTTTGTCTGTATATCTGTGTGCATTTCACGTAAAAAGTACTGAAAGAAGTACTGAAGAAGGTAAGTACTGAACTGATTTAAAAAATGTTGTGAAGTGAAACTTATTAGAATACATTTTTCTACAGAAAAATCTTTCAGTCCTAAGAACTTTACGTGGCTAAAGATTAAGAGATATATCAAAATAATGTACTAGGAAATTGAAGGTGTTAATAAAGCCTATAGAATAGTCTGCAAAAGCCTATATCAGTTTTTGTATTTTTTCTCAGAAATGAGATATTTTCCCGCGGTAAAAAGTATCCTATATGTTGACCCGGATAACCAGCTATCACCATACCAAATTTTATCAAAATCCCTCCAGTGGTTTTTCCGTGATGCGATAACAGACAGATAGACAGACAGACAAATATTCTAAAAACTATAGATTCGGCTTCTGTATCGATAATAATGTATATTTCAATAAGATTTTCCAAATATTTAATGTACAGATTCGGCTTAGTTAGAATTTTATTATATGTATAGTTTTAAAACGTATCTACTAGTGCACCCGAGCTAAGCGAGGGTGAGTCGTAATTGCAAACGAGTATATATAATATGTATATAAAACAATGACGGACTCTGTAATAAAGAAACTGACTAAAATTACAGACGTGTATTAGAAAACAATCAAGGGTAATCCTACGTTCTATAAATGAATGCCCATCAATAAAAAGCATCATTTATATAAAATTCCCATAGACATGGAAGATTGATGGCAACGCGTGAGAGTATGGGATGGGCTTACGTTGGAATGGAATGACATAACGGGGCGTTGTCGTCGGTTGAGTGCCCACGCCGCAACAGGTGTTCGCTCATTCAAAGGTAAAGTCACCATATCTTTTTGTCTTGTGTGTGACGATATGTCATTTTTTTGTCTATTAGATATTATAGTATTTTGTCAACATTAGTTATTTGGTAAATTGTTGAATAAATACGATACTATTAAAATAAAATGAATAAAAATGATGTGAAACCAAAGAGAAATCAAACTAACCGATCATATAAAAACGCGTTACAATAACAAAAGATTTAATTACTACACCTACTACATATATTTTCTCAACGAACTAAGCAATAGGAGTATGTCGAAATGCTAAAGAAAACCTTTTTGATCTGAAGTTGATTACTTGTTTGTGGGAATAGATTGCAATAAGAACAAAGGGGCCTTGGAGCAAGCATTTGTTTAGCGGCATTACGCTTCAGCGAAACGACTCTATGCCCGTATAGGCCGTAGGTAAAATAGATACGAGAAAAATGTAGCGCCGAGAACATAATACGTATTTTATGTAAGCTGCAAAATATTGATATGAATCTTAAAAGTTAGAATTAGAACATTGTGACACTTGCTTGTTTGACTCTGTAAGATGGAATATATTTAGTAAAATGCAATAGAACACGTCAGTGAAGTAAAATGTTTATCTAAATTTGCATTTATGGTAAAGTATTGAAGCCAAGGCTGGTACTAACACTGACAATGTGTCATATTCCATTTTAACCATCGTGTGTTTCTATTATTTATATTTAATTATTTGGTATTTATTAAAGTATCTCTTAATAAAAACGTGCAAGAGTGTAATTAAGGAGAGTCTATATTATCATAAATTACTATTACAAAGTATATTTCTAGGGTCCGGTAACTGAAAGGCCAAAAAAGAATCCTTTTAATTTTGTCATATACCTACTTTTGTATCCCAAGACGGTTTTACACAGCAACCTGTAACGGCCTGTCCGCACTGCGATATTTCACCGCACGTTTTTATTCTCGCAATTCTGTAACACATTGAATCTTATAGGAGTATCCGCACTGGCGGTTAAAAATTCACGCGGAAAAAAAATCTGTGATTTGATGCAAATTGAACGCGATGCGGCGCGGATTATTTCCGCGCGAATGTTTTGTACAGTATATAATATGTATGGCTATGGCCGCACTGCGAAATAAAATTCGCGCGTTTCGCTCAGTCGTGCACCGATGCTATTGGTTTATCGAATGATTTTGTAGTCATTCTGTAATATCCGAAAAACTTTTTACTGTATTTTGTGATATTTAATGTAGAAAAACATCTTTTTAGATTACTAAAATGTCTCAGTAGATATAGTAGATTTATCATTTTAGACGTTTGTCTCAGTCGGGAACTGCATCAAACTGACAAAAATCGTACGAAATTTTATTCGCAGTGCGTAATAAGTACAATTTCGATCACGGAATATAATACGCGAGAATAAAAATCGCGCGGTGATATATCGCAGTGCGGACAGGGCCTTAGATCCGGCATGACTCATATATTATAGATTGTTTTTTAATATCTACTAGCGATTCACCCTCGCTTCACTCAGGTTCGTCGCTAGGTACGTTTTAAATAGTTATGAGCCAGTGTTGGCCATGTAAATTTTGTGATTATTTTCGATGTTTTAATACTTATTATCCCATTCCGGACTAAGAGGAATCCAAAAAATCTAATATCATAAAAATTGGTTCAGCCGTTCTTGAGTTATAGATGGTGTAACTAACACGACTTTGGTTTATATATATAGACTAGGATCTAAAAGTAATGCTTTTTATTATATCCCATATAATATTCTTACTAACCCTAAATAATTTTCGAGTAAGTGAATGAGTGGGCTACCAACGTATTAGGTAAATATTACAATTACTTACTGATGAGGTATATGACTTATTATATCAATGTTATTTTTTCTACATAAATTTATATACGTACGTAATGCTTATTCAGCCAAGATATATGTACAATGTTCAAATTATCTTATATTGTACAACTTCCAGTGTTGATTTATAAGTGTTTACATTTTTTTTTATTTTGTCGCATATACATATAATAAAACTGGTAAGGTCTGGTGGTAGAGGTTGAATGTCAGTACATAGAAAAACGCTAAAACCGAGTCAGGGGGATGTAAGAAGAGAAATAGAAGAAATCCAAATTCTTTCAATTTTTTTGTTTCTCTGTCTATTTGTCTGTTTGTACGGGCTAATCTCCGAAACTCTTGGACCGATTTAAATGAAATTTGCATGGTGGTATATCTCCGACTGGCTTATATCCCCGGTCAACATTTTAGAAAAATTTTATCCCGGAAAATAAATAGTTCCCGTGGGATAGATCTATTTGTGCTTTTCTGTTTGTGTTTATATTATAATGTCTTGTCCTCAAAAGTTGATTCAAACATTCAGATAATTTCGAGACAATTATTGTATCATAGTCACTATACTATAATTATTGTATATATGTATAGTGTATATGTATTCAGCCCTTTTTAACGTCCCACTGCTGGGCACGGGCCTCCCTTCAATACGAGGGGGATCAGGCCATAGTCCACCACGCTGGCCAAGTGCGGGTTGGCGGACTTCACATGTTTTTCGAAAACTTGCTAAGTTCTCTCAGACATGCAGGTTTCCTCACGATGTTTTCCTTCACCGTAAGGCAAGTGGTAATCATGTTAGAAATGATTCGCACATGAAAATATCAGAGGTGCGAGACCCGGGTATGTATAGTGTGTATGTATAGGGTATATGTATAGTGTATATAGTATTGTGTATATATGCATAGTAAATTAATTAAAATCTCTTTTAATAAATACAATTTAGTATTGATACAATTCCACCGCTAAAATCGCAGAAATAGGATAGTTTTATAAAATCTAATTAAAAATATATGCTCCTATAATAATTAAAGATTGACTTAACAAAAAATTATAAGAGTAAATAAGTATTGTAATTTGTGAGTAAACAATTCAATCTTTGAAGGAAATATACCTTCCCCATGTTAACTCGAGTAGAACTAGAGGGTTAATTCCCAATTGATATAATTTTCACGTCAAAATATACCGAAATGCATTAGATAACTTTTATTAAATATGTTATATACAATTTTAATTGTGTACTTAATATTCATATTCAAGTTCTAAAGGTAGTTTTCAAAAATATAGTAACGTAAATAAATCTTATTATTTTTCGATAAATGATTCTTGTAGATTTATTTTGAGATGATAAGTATATTCGCAAATAAGTAAAATGTTGCTTGTTTGCCATGAATTAAACCAGTTACTTAATATTTATATCTAGATTATTGGAAAAACCAAAGTGTTTGCATTGAATTTAAATCTCATAATATCAAATATATCAATGAGTTAAACTGCCTTATATTCTAATGGAAAGATATAGAGATTGCTGAAATTTTACTTGATTACATCATATTAATTAGGTATGTGACTACGGGTGCCGCTAGGAAATCGACTTGTCTTTTTATGGTGTTGTAGATACAGGTCCAGCTTACATAAGTGGACCTCGAACGCCATCTAGTGAAACTGATCATCGTTTATAATATAAATACGTCTACAAACGTAGAGCATGTCTTAGTTTAATAGCTTTCAGCGTACATTCTTAAGAAATTTATTATTTTAATTAAAATGTCTAGTAATATGATTCCATTCTAAAATTGATTATTAATTATTTAAAAAAGTGTTAATGTTACTTCTCAACAGCTAAAATCCTCAATCAACAATAATCTGATATAGTTTTGAGAAAGTCTATTATTCTTAATTTTTAGTACTGATAAAACAAGCATATATTATAATACAATTAAAGTAAGCCTAAAAATGTTACTCGAGGGGCATTCTTGTAAATATTAATGAAGTGAACGTTCAAAAGTAAAAACAAATGTATTGTAATGAGAGCAGAATGGAGAGTAGAAGAGAATGCGAGCGGTCGGGGGGTCGCGCAGTAAAGTTGCGACACGGCCCGGTGAGTGTGCACTGTACAAGATTCCAACCTTGAGATCATCGGTGAGTGTGGGAGCAGTAATGCACGGGGCTCATTCCTCCCGGTGTAAGCAATCCGCCTTCCCTCGCTAGGCGAACAGCCGTTAAGTGACTCCGTAGAATCCGCCGTGCACCAATGACAGTATTACTTTGTTAGAGATACACTATTTAATTGTATGACTAAAAACACACTCACAGCACTGCACGTACAACACTCCAGAGATGGAGCAAACTGACACTCGAAGGAATGAACGAAGTAGCGACGCTGATCGATTCACACACACGACCAAGGCGTCGGTCGGAGTGAGACTGATCGCGGCGCAACAGGCTGCGGCGCGCGCGCACTCGCTCCACCCCCTCTCCCTCCACACCCCCTTGGATGGTGGCACTGTTTACTGGTCGAGCTTTTGCATGCCTGGACTGGACTGTACATCAGGTAATGAAACTGCAAGGGTGATAAACGCCAACGGTGAACCGGCTGAACCCGACTGATGCTCAAGACAATGTTTTTGTGAAAACTATATCATATAAATGTTTTGATATAATTATAATTTATGTTTCATTAAGACTTACAAAAGGCTTATTCGATAAAATTATTGTTTTTAATAGCATATAAAGCTATTAATTAGGTATAAAATATATTATTTTTTTTTACTTGGATATACTAAATCAAAATTAAAAGCGGGTAGAGTAAGAGTTTTAGTTATGTTTGACTTTGAATCTTAAAGTACGAGTACGTCCAAATATCGATCTAAGGTACTTACGATAATTCCAATGCATTAAAAATACAAAAAGGAATTGTAGCTTCTGTGTGGCTAACAGCGTTCTCTTTATAGAAACGCAATGATGTGAGGCTCAATACGCATTATTCGTTTTCTCTCATCACCAATTACCAGTTTCAAAGGTCCATTGAAAGGCACAAAGCAACAATTCCTTTGCCTATATAAGATGAATTTCTCACATCTATACTAATATTATAAAGAGGCAGAGTTTGTTTGTTTGAACACACTAATCTGAGGAACTACTAATCGGGTTTAAAAAATTCTTTATGCATTAGATAGCCCGTTTATTGAGGAACGGTATAGGCTAAAATATCATCATGCTACCACCAAAGAGAGCGGAGCAGTTATCATAAATGTTAACAAATCAGGCAGACTTCCATATATCATTATTATAAAACTGATGTTTATAATCAAACAAATTTAACGCGGGTAAAACCGCGGGGCACAGCTAATAATATATAATTATAAAAATATTTTTTTAAATATTAGGTACTTATACGTTTTCACTAATTGAAAGACAATATAAAAAAATCGATTATATAAAAAATAATACAATATTTAATGTCATACCAATTAATTAAGAAAATTTAAACAATCACAATGGAAATATCTAAGTAGGTCAAAAACTCTAGCATCATATTTTTACACTTAATAAATCATTTAATTCAAATTATACTTCTATATTTTATTACATTTGACCACAAATCTCAAAGATCATAATTTTTAAATAATAATTTTATTATTTGTCGTTAATAGTCATTATTATAATACAATAAATTGATTATAGTATATTCATCAAGAAAAATATTTAAATCTATACTAATATTATAAAGAGGCAGTTTGTTTATTTGTTTGTTTGATTGAACGCACTAATCTTATGAACTACAAATTCGATTTGAAAAATTCTCTTTACATTTTATACCTCGTATGTATATACGAGTATACCCCGTTTATTGGGGAAGGCTATAGCCTTATCGTATCGATGTATCGTGTATCGATGATATATAACCTATAGGTTATATATCATCATGCTACTTACCCAAGATAGCGGAGCAATAATCATAAAGCGAAGCGAGGGTGAATCGCTTGTATCATTATAAATTAATAAAACTTAATAAACAACAAAGTGTAACTGATAACTTAAAGGGCCGTACATATCCCCCCATACACCATGTGTTAGACTTCAACGCGCTTTACGTTGCAAAGTTCCAATAAGAAGATTTACCGCAGTTTACACTTACTATAATATCAGCTTATAATTATTGTTTACTACCAGAACCCGCGGCTTCGCTCGCGCTAAAACTACAAAAAATATCAAAAAGGTAGTTTCATACAAACTTTCATCCACTATTTTACCCCTTATAGAATGAATTTCGAAAAATGCTAAAACACGTATTTATTTAATTTCATTGAAGACCGTTAAACCAAATTTCAAGCAATTCTGATCATAAATATTTTTTGGATTGTATTATAACGTGTTTTCTATGGGAATTAAATAATCTCCCGCGGTAAAAAGTAGCCTATGTCACACTCCAGCCCTCCAACTATCTCCACACAAAAAATCACGCCAATCCGTTTTTCCATTTCGACGTGAAAGAAGAACAAACAAACAAACACACTTTCACATTTATAATATTAGTATGGATTGTATTATTCTGTGGCAAAGTTATATTTTAGAAATAAATTTTATTTTTAGTCAAGTAATATTAAAATTATATAAATTACAAATTCCAAACATTGAAAAATCTTGTTTTATCGATGTCCACTGTCGGAGGTACAAGATGCGAGCTATATTTTTTATTAATATTTATAAAAATATATTTAAAAAAAACGATCATATACATAACTTATTTAAACCAGAAAATTCATAAAACCAGTAACATAAGATTTAATAAGTAGGTAATACGAGTATCTTTAAAAGGTCACCCATAGAATTTTTAAAAGACAAAAATATACATATAATGGGAACTTTGTAATTCAAACGAATAAAATAAAAAAATAAAAAGCAAGTTCATGCTATTTGAATAAATAGCTTTTAAATATTTATAAACATATAACAACATCTTTAACATATATGTATAATTATACATACATACATATGGTACTTTAAGATTATGGTTCCGTGAATAATAGTCGTAAAATGAAATTATACGAGTGTAACTCGATTAAATAATCATAAATATTCTTTAAAATATCCATTATAATTTTTATGTTTGTATAATCATTATATAAACATTTAAAACTCATAACATTATTAAAAAAATTGAAATATCCACATCTAAAATTTACTGTTTATCAAAGTTCTATCGGACTTTGTTGTACATATTCAGAATGTGTTAATATTGAATACATATAATATAAGAAAACTATATTTACAAGTATAAATATAATTACAAAAGTGTTACAGTGAGTGTTGTATCGAGCAGGCTATATTTACTGCCGAACGAACGTTATGCAATAATTGGTGACGTGACATTCAATATTACTCAACTTTATTAAAAGATAATATCTCAAGTAATGATTTTTATTATACTAAGCAATAACTTCGTATTATTATAACGGGATACTAATATATCTTCTATGATCTTGTCGCACTACTAAGACGTAGAACATCCTGGAAAGACCGGTCCACCGGCGTTTATCGGGTTCAGTGCCATTATTTAGCGATCAAAATATACCGGTTCAAAAAGTTATGTGAAAATAAGTCCTAACATTACGAATATTACACTGCACTATTTGCGTCCACAACGCTTTGCCTTAAGCCCCCCACAGTGTTGTTTGTTAACACAATTGTGTTTATAAAAACATTAAAATCTCAGATAACACGGAACATAAGTTTATTAAAATAACACAATTATGATAATTGCGTCTAATAAAATACTATAAGATTTAATTTCTTAGTTACAACAACAAAAACAAACACCTTTATTACTATACTGTATTATGCACAATTCAATTATACTTGGTAGTTTACTTTTTTATAGAGAAATAAGTAATAGATAAGTAGGTAAATTTTTGAGCCAACTATATTAAGAGTAAATACAAGTTTTATTAGTCTTTAGACACTGTTGGAGGTCTATAAAACAGACTTACAACATTCGGAATTTCCTGTAAATAGAATATTATCATTATTTATTTTTATCCTGTATGTAATTTTTTATGAATTATTGCTCGCGACACCTTCTTACTTGCCTGGAAAGATATAGCGATAAAAGCCACTTATACCTTTTAATTTATTATGTTTAACCTCTGGTGTACAATATAAATATAATATGTATTTTTAACTTACTTAAAGTACATCAATAGTTTGTAGTATTATTAGTAATTTATTTTTTATAATGTCCAAAAAAAATACAACCAAAGATAGCTACAAATACGATAATCATACTATGAGTTAAATATTTAAGTAAAACTTCCATTAGAGCATAGCGGTGACCAAATAACGGTCCAAGAAATACTGACACTTATAGGGCAGACTTTACTACAGTATGCACAAAGACGGCAAACGATTTAAAAATATGCCAATAAATTAATTCATGCAATAATTTTATATTGAAATATCTATTCATTATAATTTTATATAACAAAGCCGAGTACGAAGGTAAGAATTTGGAGAGAGAGGAGAAGATAAGAAGGTAATTAATAAAAGAAAGTTTTCAAGTTGGAAGAATGGGAATTGATGGTTAAGCCACTATTCATATTGCCACTAGGAAAGCCTATTAGTTTCACTACTTGTATTGAAATAATTTTATAATTAGACATAAGCTACTGTTAGGCATCCGAGTCCGAATCCAAGCAAGAGTAAATCTGAAATCGCCAGAGCGAAATAAAATGAAAATGTATGTATTACCCTCACATAAAAGTTTAAATTACATTATACATATATCTATATCTATACAAGCATGACTTGATAAAATGAAATTAGAATTGAGGGCGAAAACTCCTTGAAGAAACGGATGAAGACGTCATAATCATGACCCGCGCCACTGTCACGGTCGAAATGCTATCGTAATCACGAGCCGCCATTACACAAGGTTGGAAACACATATAAGATTGCACGTAACCGTAGCTATATATTATGAACATAAAATTAATAATAATACAATCCACATAGATACATAGATTGGTCTTAAGTGAGAGAATTAGATATTCTAGACTAAGACAACTAGAATTAAGATATATTGAAAAATGGAACTCGACGATATTTAAAAGAGCACTAAAAGCACCTTTTTTTCAATTTTTTATAAAACTATCGTGATTAACTAACAGTATTTGCAATATTAAACACATATTTATCATAATACACTAGTGCAGGAAGAAAAGTTGCAAAGTCTATTCCTAATAAATTCGACGTGAAAATAAGGAGTAAATAAATGTACAAAAACGAAACACTAGTAGCACGCTTTTTTCATACGCGTGGTTATCCATTTTCTATTAGAACCAAGTTTTAGTTAGTATTTATATTAGCACCAGGAATATTTGAACACATTTTACAACCTAACACTTCAAATGAAGTATTAGGTGTAAATAAATGAAATTTTCAGGGTTTATTCTTCATAAATTGGCACAGTTTTTAAAGAAAGTTTTAAGTTGTTTATGATGTTCATGAAATCTTTATTTGGAGTTTTAGAAGATTCTGAAAAGTCATTACAATAGTAAAAAGGTCCCTATTATTGGACTAGCTTAGAAAAAAAACCACAATCGTAT